ATAAATACACACAAGCGTACACATTACGCATATACATATACACATGTGCATAAGTGATTGAAACAACGAAATCGAAGATATTAAAGTTCGTTATCGCAGATCAAATGACATGTCGATCGCCTTGTAGATCATTAATAGAATTTAGCCACCGTAATTTATCTCTTTATATTCCTCTCATTTTCTTGATCTTTTGATCTGATTAGATAATTAATTCTTTCATAGTGTAATAAATCGAAAAACATAAAAATTAATTCATATTTTAATTCAAGAACTTTAATAATAGATTATATGATAATAGAAAAATTCTGATGTTCTCAATATTTTTTTTGTTTATTGAAATAAGAATGAAATTAGTATATAAAAAATTTAATTTAGTATAAAATATAATTTATATATTAATATTATTTGTTTATTTGTATTGAAAAGATTAAAGAATCAGAATTCTTTTACATCAGAAAATTTTCATTTCTAAAATTTAAAAAATTTTAACAATAATTTTCATTAAATTTACAATTAAAATTATCTGAATAATATAATAGCGCCTTGTTATTTATAATCCTTAATTAACCTTCGCGTTACGCTATGAAAGAATCAGTAATTAGAAATTCAAATAAAAATTGTTTTTAATGTAACAAACAAGATAGATACAAGGATACAAGATAGAGATCATCGTTAAATCGATTTAGAAGTGTGCCACCGTGTAGAAATCATCCTCATCGTGCGAGAAATTTACGTAGTAGCGCCTTATAAAAAAAAAAAAAGAAAAAAAAACACAAAGAAAAACAAATGTAATAACAAAAAATAATAAAAAAAAAAAAAAAATACGAGAGAAAGAATGGATGTATGACTGAACGTCTGAGCGAAAGAGAACGTACGCGATTAATTAAGAGAGAGAAAGAGAGAGAGAGAGAGAGAGAATAAAATATTACCCTAGCGTCAATTTTCTACGAAAGAGTTTTCTACAAAATTCACACCATAAGCGTGCATCTTGATCGTATCACGCTTATTGTATGAATCTATGTAAGTATGTATGCCACACGCAAGCGCTGGTACGAATCTCTTGACGTTTTTCTAATTAGACATCGTTCGCTAAGTTTGTTACAAAAAAAAAAATATAAAATATATATATATATAGTAATAAAAACACGTTTTTCGCGAAGTTTGCTGAAAAAATCATCGACGATTTCGTTCGATATAAAAATCGACGAGAACGCGTGATGCGAAGAGACAAGGAGAGAGGAAGAAAGATGAAGCGAGCGAAAGAGAGAGAAGAATGCAGCCCTATAAAAAAAGCAAGCGTAGTAGCGGATATAAAAATTAAGAGTTCATAATAGGTGCTTGTTCAAGATGCACTAAATAATTGTAAAAGCGAATAATATGGAATCAGATAAAAAGAAAAAAAAATGAAGTGAAGCAATTAACGAATTATCATTCAATTATTGAGTTCTGTATCGATGTTTAACTTTTCGCACTCGACGACGCTCCTTTAATCGTCTCTTTAACCTTCGAATCTTTCATTTTAAAATTTAGAAAAAAAAAATTATAAAGATAGTAATTTTTACAGAATATAAATAGGATATTATAGTAATTTCGACAAAGATTCATTCCAATAGAAAACATAATTAATCGAACAAAATAAACGAATCGAGTGCGCAAAGGAAAAGATCGATCGAATATTCCTATCGCTCCGGGATGAATCGTTCTAATCATTCGAAGAGATAGAATTATAAAAAATGATAGATTATAAAAAATATTCGAATTAATGCAATGTTTGCGATTGATAAAAGTTAAAATATGTACATTTTCATTCTATTGTAACTCCGTCGTGTTATGAAACTCAATGGTGTAGTATCGATACAGAATTTGCATTTCAAGACTTGATCTGAATTGTTTATATGATATTATATTTCGATTCTATTTAAAAAAAATATTTTATTTATCTCTTCATTATAACTCTCTAATCGTTTTTCTTTTGTAACTTTCGTTTCAATCTATCTATCACGAGAAGCAAATCAACAATTTAATTTAGATGAACTTTTAGAAAAAATCTTACATTTGTAATATGAAAAGAATGTATTAAGTAATGTATTAATGAATTAAAACTTTATTTATTTAAATAAAATTTAACATTTATTGATTACTTAAATAAGAAATTATATAAATAAGAAATATTCTATCATATAAAATGTCCGCCTTTAATAAATTGAAATATTCAAAATTTTTCTTTCACATATTAAATTAATGTTTAACGAACAGTTGGCAGATAATAATTAAAAGTTTAAATTGTTTTAAAATTATATTCACTACACCATTGTTTGTAAGAATGATCCAATCGCCTCTCTAAAAAGGCAAATTATGTTTTGCGATTATAAAGAAATAAAATAAAAGAAAAAATATATATATATACACATGTATTCACATACATGTAAATGTATATGCGCGCGTGCATACGATGCGTAAAATGAATTCCGTTTAAGCCAACTCGTGGCACGAGAAAGTTAAAATATATTTAAAAAAGAAGCGAATAAGAGGTTTAAATTGAAATAAGTAAGAGTTGAGATTTAATCGAAATAATTTTATCATCCATAACATGTCATACACATATACACACACATACATACATATATACCCATTACACCGATGAAAGTTTTTGTGTTCGTTATGTCGGTGTAAACAAGGAGAAATGAGGAGAAAAAACTATGACCACATGAATTATAATTCCACTATAGTCGAAAAATAAAAAAATGAATTAAAGAAAAAAATAAAATAAAATAATGCGTATGAAAAGATTCTATAGCGAAGGAATACATTATAATTCTTCAGACATATACGTATACATCTTCTTATTTCCGATTCTCTAGCCTGCGACTAAATATATTTTATTAAAGAATAATTAAAAAAAAAAAATTAATTGCAGAAATAATCGAATAACGAGCATAAGAGTAAAGATGCATGCAAAATAGAGAGTATAAAAAAAAACAATTAGTGGCCGCGGATTATAAGGCGCAATTGAATTAAACGCGAAATAAATAAAACAATAAAAAAAATAAGAACAATTACAATTAATGAAACAAGAAAAAAGAAAAAAAAGGAAAAAATACGAAGCAGATTAGTTCTTTTTCTAACGAGCGAATCGTTTTTTAAGTGAACATGTAGCTGGCTAATTAGAAGTTATATAACTGGCCAATATACTTTTATAAATTGTATGAAAATGAAAAAAAAACAGAAAACTATAAGTATTCACGCGCGTTTAGACATCAGCACTTTTAAAATATACTTGCCATAACGAATGCCTTAGCAAAGAAATAAAAAATTATAAAAAATAAAATAAAACATTACTGTACATTGAGATACGATGACGAGGAAGGAATATACATATACATAAGTATAATAAGTATACATACAATGTCATACACATAAATATGCATATACATATACATACATATATACATAAATAAATGCGAGAAACAAATTGATAAACGAGCCAAAAAAAAGCCAATGCACACATCAAAGATAATATTAGAGGAAATAAAAGTGAGACATACGTACACATATACACACCTATACAATATCTTTACGCGAAAATGTATATCTGTATAAAATGTACTCGTGAACACTGCTCCTTGTATATTTTATACATTTTACAATTATTATTTAAGAAAAAAAGAAAATGAGAAAGAAGGAAATAAAAAATGATTATTAATCATTTAAATTAAGAAATATGCAAAAGAAAATACGTATACATATATACATAAATATACAAAAAAAGAACAATGTATATGAAATCTCTCAAAAGCGCATTAAAATAAAAAGAAAAAAGTATAAAGAAAAAGAAAAAGAAATGATGATGCAAAGTGAGAATATATTATTAAATGTATTTAGATTAAGATTGAATTATTAGGGAGGATAAGAGAGAAAGAAAACAAGAAGAAAAAACGATCATTAAATCGTGTACATAAACATCGTTGGCAATATTCGACTTCGCCCGTCCATTTAGTTTCTAGACCACAAGTCTCTACGAATTGTTCCTTTCAAGCCAGCATCGAATAGGTCAGAAACGATTGAAGATAATTTGCGCCTGTAATTCTTGTTAATCTTATCGTTAAACACGTTGACATAATTTAGTCGAAATGTTTCCTTCTCGAACAGAAAATAATTATAATATTTTAAAATACATCATTGTTTATGTTTAAGATACACACTTCCAAATACTCCGAGCATTTATTTTCTTTTTCATTGATGATTAATCCATTCATTATTTTATCTCATAATTACTATTGCCATCGTCTTTGTTTTTTTATCACTTCACTTTACTTCATTTCAATTTTCACTTCATTGAAATGTAGGTATTTCTTCGAAATGATCGAGTTTTTGTACATGTGGCGTTAAATATGTGGTTATAGCGATACAATAATAAAATTCAATCAAAATGATTAAAATTAACGAATAAAATTTAACGACACGATACAAGATATGTAATGCTAAATATTTTTAGAATTGTTTTGAGATTTATTATTATTTTCTTTTCTTGGTGAATCTATTAATCTTTTAATATTTTATTACTATTTTTTTAATAATCCCATTTAATTTTATCATTGTAATTTCACTTTATTTTTCTTATATTTCTATTTAAAAAAAAGATGCGTCTTTTTCAAGTTAAAATAAAAATAAAAATATGTGAAAAATATTTAGTATAATTTATGTTAGCTTTAAATTTATATTAAAGTATATAGTAATTAATTATTCCTCCACTGTATGCCTTTCAAGTATGGAAATATTTGAGACTTGTGTTTTTAATTGCTAACGAAGGATATTCCTAATGAATAATTGTACAATATACGAACATCTTTACACGCATTTCAAGTACTCACATTCTGTACAAAAATTTATAACTACTAACTAATAAACAAATTTCGGCAATGAGTTAATTAAATAGTCAATTTCACTTTTAATTTTTTGTTTTTTTCTTTTTTGATAAAATAATTGGTTAAATTATAGATAAATAATACAAATTATAAGATGTGTACGACATTGTAGAATTTAAATTCGATTATCGATTGATATCGAAACGTTCGAGAACAATGTTAGAGAAAAACAATGACGATTCAAGTAGTTCTGAAGATGAAATATCAAAAAATGCAATAAAAGAAGCAACTGATCATCAACTTCTAAAAGAACACTATTTCTCTAACGAAAAATTTAAAAACGCAGATGTTTCTAAAAAATCGAATGAATGTAAGTATTATAACCTCACTTTCATATCTTCATCTTTACCACATTCTTTATTTTTTATTACAGAATTTCTAATAAACGGCAATTTTTCTTTTCTTTTTTTTAGGTAATTCAATAGAAATTAATAGTGTAATAAATCCCATATCATTAAGAAAAAAATTAGAACATGAAGATACATTTTCCAATTTTGGTGTGACTCCAACATTTCAAAATTATGTTGCAAAAAAATTAGATGAAATACTAGAAAAGTACATAATTATTTAAAATATATAATTATTAATTTGAATTTAAATTATTCATATTAAATAATTTTTATTTATTTTTTATATACTAAGAGAATTTTTCAGATCCATTAAAATAAAGAAGAAAAAGACAGACAATATTATAAATGAAAAAGATAATGAAAGTAATAATTATGGTATAAAATTGCTCAATTCTTCATCAGAGTTTTTAGTAGTTGAAGAAGATCTTCCAAAGTTTCAAAAGAAAAGAAAAATAGAAACAAATATAGATGAGAAAGCAAATTTATTAAAATGCAAAGAAGTAGCTGTAGATCCTGAACATATATTATCAAAAATAGATACTAAAGCTTGGACAAATAAACGAAAAGAAATTGAATTTAATTATAAGAAATTGAAAAATGGTACTTTAGTCGAAAAACCTAACAATAGGTTAGGTTCATGATACTATTACTTATAAATTAATTTGTAATGCATATATATAAATAAATGGATTTATATATAAATCTTAAAGTTGAAAATATATTTTTTCCTTTTTAATATATAAATTTCCTATTATACATCTAAAGATTATTTTTTTATGATATAAACTTATCAAATATAATATAGTACTTGCAAACCAAATAACACGTTTGAAAGTGATTGTTACGTTTTAGACATTTAAAATTCAGAAATTATTAAATTAGTATTAATTGGCTGTTATATTGAATAATTTAATTAATTTAAAAACAATCTGGAAAAAAAAATAATGGATATTCGACAAAGGAATTCTACAAATTTAAATAATATTTGCAAATTGTACGTATCCATATTAACCTCAAACTGTTTATAAATATTATTTTAAATAATTTTAAAGTAGCAAGCCTAAGAATTTATTTTTATATCATCTTAAATATTTTTTGAAAAAATTTTTCATACTATAATTTATTTTAATTTAAAAAAATTTTATATCATAAATATTAATAATATTTATATTAATGTAAAAAATTTATGAAAGATATATAAAGATATATGAAAGATATATTAGAACTTTTTATTTATTTTTAGATGTAATAAACACCCTCATATATATACTTGTCCACGATGTGAGATAAAATATTGCAGTGTTGATTGCTATAAAAAAGAAGCTCATTTAGAATGTTCAGAAAGTTTTTATAAGCAATGTGTAATAAATGAGCTTAAATCTCAAGAAAGAGACACAGAAGATAGACAAAAGATGTTAAAAATTCTCAAAAGAGTACATGAACAAGATTTAGAAGATATAGAAACATTGGAAAATGATGAAATTGATGAAGAATCAGAAGAACAATTAGATTCAGATGATGAAGAAAATGTGAATTGAATTCATATTGATATAATAATTTATATCATATTGATACAACAATTTGTTTTTTCATTCTTATTTAAATATCTAATGTTAATATTTAAACTGTTTCTTTTTTAGATATCAGATTTAGAAAAAAGACTTAATGATATAAATTTGGATAATGCAGATGAAGTATGGTCTGTATTAACAAATGCTGAGAAACAAGAATTTGAAGCTCTAATAAAAAATGGTGATATAGATAAATTTTTACCAAAATGGATTCCATGGTGGATTAATTGTACGAAAAAAAAACTTATTGAAGATATGGATCAAACATATGATAAACAAGCACAGAAACTTCCTTCGCTAATAGATGTTCCAATATTTAATGAATTACAGGTATTAAAATATATTAGAACTTTAATGTAATATAATATAATGTAATGTAATATAGTATTATAGAAGCTAATAAAATATTTCTTATAGAAAGCTTCTCCAAATGTTGAATATAATATAATAAATGTAATCTATGCATATGCATACATAGCAAATTATTATAATGGTGACTATCTAAACTGTCCAGTAGAAGCTACAATTGTTTTTCTTGATCTCAGTGAAAATATGAAATACAATAAAGTTTATGAAAATTCAGAATCAGCAATAACTTCTATTGTTCATAAAATTATTAGTGTAAGTTTTATAATATTTAATATTCAAAAAATAATAAAAAATAAAAAGATATAAAAAGTTTGTTAATTGTTTTCAGTGTAATTGGTTACCACAAGATGAACAAACTTTATTAGCTTTCAAAGAAGCTGGCAATATAATAATGCAAGGTTCCGAAAATAAATATCTGTATATTGCTGTTGCACTTTCTGAATTATATAGATTATTAATAGCAGCAACAAAAGAAATATTGAAAAATAAAAATGACATTGGAAATAAAGAATTTTTCAAAAAATTTGTTCGATATAAGATTGATAATATAAATTTATCGAAAAAAATGCTTTTTTTATATCGTAAAAAATTGGAGTATTATTTATCATGGACTAAAAATTGTAATATAAATATGTATATATAAATATATTTAATATATTATAATTTTAAATATTTATAATTCATTCAGAAAATATTATCAATTAAAGTTATATATTTTTCTATTAATAGTAAGAAATTGCATGCATTCTATGGTATTTAATTCATAATTTGAATTAAATTTTTAATAAATTTACTCACGAAATCCTTCCTTCAGTATTATTTTTAACACTTTTAATATTTTTGCACTTTTCGTAAAAATTTATAAACGTTAAAATTAAAAATTAATCTGTTCATTTATTCACACGTCAACAATATTAATAGTACAAATTCAAACTGTGACTTCAAGAAATAAAATCGATATATCAACTTTTAAATTACTATCGATTTCTATCGATATCAAATAAATCAAATAATATATTCATTAAATATAAAAATAAATTTAGTATATATTGTAGTTAATTACTACATAATCACTAAATTTAATATCTTAAATTTTTATATTTTTCAAATTTCACTTTTATTCTATTTATAATTTTTCCCATTTAATTAAATATATAAATTTTACATAGTTATATGAAATAGATTTTGATCATTAAAATTCATTATTAATATTATAAATACATATATATAAAATATCTTATTATTCTTTAGAAATAAACTGAAATTCAAATTTGCGGAAATTTAAATATCGAATTTGAATAATCGATAAATCGAATAACAGAAGGCGCCTTATCAATGAGACAAGCAGACGATATTTACGAGAAATATAATCATACGGCAAGTAGACAGTGGGCAAAATGGTGGCAGACGAGAAATTGTTTTTCTCGAAAGCCGTCCAACATTTAGCTAGATGTTTAGCAGCAATTAAACCTACATCATCAGAAAAGGTATGTTAATTATTGATCTTGTATTGTAAATTAAAATGATATTTACGTATCAAAAAAAATTTGACATTTAATTAGGATTAGGTTAATTTCAAGAATATGTCAGCTAATATTCTGATATGTCATCTCATGATGTAATTCAGACAATCAATTCATTGTAATTAATTATTGACGTTATTATGTTTCTAAATAAATGAGTTATAATATATGTTATAGATATAATTCACTTTAAACAATTGTTTTACAAATACAACTTTGTAAATAAAAAAATTGAAAAATATTTTTTATTTATTATTAAATATTCTAATTTTTCCTTTTGTATTAAATAATTATTTTTTAATTTATTATTTTTAATTAAGTAATTAATTAAACATAAAATATTTTTTAATCAAATAATATTTTGTTTTATATTATAATTTTATATAACTCATATGCATTTGATTTTAAATAAAATAATGATTTTTGATATTTATATTATGTAAGTGTTTATTATATTTTTACAAATTAAAAAAAATATATAAATATTCTTTATTGAATTATTAAATAAAATTATTAATATTTAATTATTATTTATTAAAATTAGTTTAAATTATGCTGACAATTAATAAATATCATTATAAATATAATTAATATCAATAAGAAAAAAATTTGCTATACTTGTATCTATAACTCTTTCTTAAATACATTTGATTTAAATAATTTTATTAGTAATGTTAAGAATTAAAGAAATTTTTTCTTAATATAGATCTCACAATTATTCAAGTTATGCCCACAAGAATCTACTCAAGGTATATATAGATTAGATCAAAGAGGTCAAGATGCAACTATTGCATTGGGAATATACTTTTTGGAATCTGGTCTACAACATCGGGATAAAATATTACCTTATCTTTTACGATTATTACGTGGTCTTCCAAAAGCTGTATGGTTGGATGAGGTCAAATGTTCACCTAGTGAACGTATTCCTGTTGCTGAACGGTTTAGTTTTTGTTTAAATACATTACTTAGTGATGTTGCAGCTAGATGTGAACCAGTACGTGAAGAAATCATTTCTACTCAAGTAGAAATACTTGCAGTTTTAACAAATCTCATTAGAGGATATAAAGATCAAAATGGCAATAGAGGGATGCAAGCAAAATGTAGATATTTCTTTTTTATCGCTAACTATATTTTATTATAATTATATATTTATATATATATATATATATTTTTTTTTAGTGTCATTGTGTAAATGTCTAGTTCCAGTATTAATTGGTTTAGCTCGATCTATGGGTCGCTTTGCATATACTGATCCACCTCTTTTATGTCGTATTTTCCCGAGACCGGAACCACCTCTCTTAAAACCAAATGCAGAAACGCGTTTAATATCGGATAGAAAACAACATAGTTTTTCAAACTTTCGACCAATTATTCCTCGATCGTTAAGTGGTAATTTGAATCCTCATCCGACTGTGGATACTGCATCAAGTTTATTGATCGGGGATCACGAATATCCCTGTGCTAAACGACCATCATTACAATCTTATTCATCAGTACCCTATGATCCGCCCACATATTTTTTTAGTCGATATGGATCAAGTTTCAATCAGTTTCCTCAAATGAGATGTAATGAAAGCCCTGAGAGAAGAGCTGGTATGCAATTTAATGTAGTACATTTACAAAGTGTATTGGCTTTAGCAAAGAAATTGCTTACTAAAGAAATTTTAACATTTCTCGATGAAGAAACTCAACAAGTTAGTTATTATTATTATTTTATATTAATATTATATAATGTTACATTATTAATTTTATTTAATATAAATTCCACTTGATTAAATTTTTATTTAGGTTTACAATTCTGGACAGGTGCAAATATTTCCTTATCGTACATTTAGTGAGACAATGAATTTAGTAATGGTTGCTCTTTTACGAGAATTGTTACAAAATCAACGCGATTTGCCTATTCCATTTACAAGAGATGTACAAGAATTCGTAAAAGGTCTATTTTTGTCTGGTCAAACAGAATTGCAATCGCGTCAACATGATGCAAGTGAACGCGAAGACATGGATACTAATTTCCGAACTGTAAATAGATTTAAAGTAAATGTTATGGCTAATTCTGCGTGTGTTGATCTTCTTGTTTGGGCAATTGGTGATGAAACTGGTAAGTAATAAATCAACACTTTAATATAGCCTGGAAAACCATATATGTTTAATATTCTTATTATGTTTTAATAAAATTATTTAAATATAAATCTTCTGCATTGATAGGATTATATGTAGATCATTACGTTATTTTTCCAGTGAGAGACCAGTATGATTTGTCCGCACTATTCGCAGATATCAGTTCAATGTTGATTGGCGAGGGTATTCGAATTTAGCTTATATTGCATTTCGATTGATTATCCCATATCTCTGATAACCTTCAACAATTTTTAACTAACGAATACAATTTCCTTTGATATTACATTAACGCCGTTAATTTAATTGTTATTCCACTAAATATAATTCTCTTAGCTAATTTTAACTGTTTGTTCAATTATTAATGCGAAAATAAGCGACAAATTCATACATAAGACTATTACAACAATATATATATACTTATATATTTCTATGCATTGCTGTTTTAAATTATTGAAAGAATAATTTCTATACAGTGCTCTTCATTTTCTGGGAAAAATTTTTAGAATTAACAAAAATTATCTAGCCTACGAATAGTAGGATTACATTTGCAAATATTATTTATGGAATTATATATTATTTACAGGTGCAGATAGTTTATGTGGACGTTTAGTTGAAAAGATTAATTCTAATCATGGACCAAAACTGGTGCTGGCACATATGCCTTTATTAATGGTATGCCTTGAAGGATTAGGAAAATTAGCGCAAAAATTTCCTAATATTGCAAGTACATCTATATATTATCTTCGAGATTTTCTTGTTGTTCCATCGCCTATATTACTTAAATTACATCGTCAACAAAGTGAAAAAGGTGGCATAAAATTTTTAATAAACATATTATATTGTAATGTTGTATTACATAATTGTATGCAATATGAAAAATTTTTTTTTCTTTAAGGAAAAGATATACAAGATTCGAAACAAACTACTTCATCGATACAAACAGCCTTTGAAAAATTACGAGATGCAGCTATTGGTAATCTTTGTATTGCTCTAGAAGCTGCTCATTCTGTGAATCCGGATTGTGTACCAGCATTAGTTGCTAGTGTTTCGAATAGATTATTTGCTGCTGATATATGCGACGGGTACTATAAATATTTTTCCATTTTTACATTTTATTTATTTTTCCCTGAATTCTTTTTTTGAATATTTTAGTTACGATATCTCAATTATTTATTTCAATACTTTTAGTGAATCCGATGACAGGTCGAATAGCGAATTAATTTCGAAAAATATAGTAATCATGTTGGGGCACGTCGCTGTTGCGTTGAAAGATACCCCAAAAACTATGCGTACAATATTCCCGTTTTTTCAACAATTATTTTGTCGTACTCCGAGTGATCTTGATTTTCTGATCGTGGATCAGTTAGGATGTATGATTATTGCGAAATGCGAATCAAAGGTTCATTTCAAGATTAATTAACAGTTACCAAATAAATTGATAAAATTTTTCATGTATAAATTACTATATTATGTAAAATATAGAAATATTTTATTTTTTTCAGATTTATGAAGGCATAATGCAAATGTTTTCTATGTCATTGGGTTCAAGTACGGCAACTTATGCTTCTAATGATGATCGAAAACAGTACTGTCATGTAGCTAAAGCAGTCACAAATGCTCTTGCAAATATAGCAGCAAATCTCCAAGGTGAAACAGAATTAAATGATTTATTACTTCATTTGCTTGAACTTTTTGTTCAATTGGGATTAGAAGGTAAACGTGCCAGTGATAAAGCATCAAATAATGTTACTATGACGGTAATTATAATTGACTTAATTAATAATTATATGGCAATTTACAAAATTTTAACATAATTCTTATATTTTAATATATATATCAGAAAACAGCAAGTAGCGCAGGAAATTTAGGTGTGCTCATTCCTGTGATTGCTATATTAGTACGGCGACTTCCACCGATCAGACATCCACAAAAAAGACTTTTAAAGCTTTTTAAAGACTTTTGGCTTTATTGTGTCGTGATGGGTTTTGCTGGCGATCAAGCACCGCGATTGTGGCCTGCAGAATGGTACGAAGGCGTTAAAGAAATTGCTGTAAAATCGCCTTATCTTATTTCGCAAACTAGTGCACGACTTGAAATGAGAGAATTACAATATACTTCAGCTGTACGCAATGATAGCGTTTCTTTGAATGAATTACAAGAATTAAGAAGTCAAATATTAAAATTAAGTACTCGGTAAATATTTTTATTCATTTTGTTGCAAATTTTTAAAGGATTATTGTATCTAAATTATTATATTATATTAATGTATATTATAAACATTATTATTTTTTTTTTTTTTTTTTTACAGAACAAACGATATATCACAATATGTGACAAAATTACAATTTGCACAATGTACATATTTATTATCAGTCTATTGGTTAGAGACATTGAGAGTGGCAAACAGTTCTGAACCTAGTTTACAACCAATAATGGAATATTTATGTGATACAGATTTACAAAAAGATAAAAGCGGTATGTGGCAATGTATTTGTTGTGTTGCTGATTCTGTCTTTGTGAAATTCAAAGATGTTATGCAGCGTAAACCAAAAGATGAACGACGTGAAAAAGAACTCGAAAATCATGCTCAGTTCCTCTTGGTATATTTTAATCATGTACATAAACAAATTAGACGGATAGCGGATAAATATCTTAGTGCATTGGTGGATGCATTTCCACATCTTTTATGGAATTGTAAAGTGCTTTGGAGCATGTTGGATATATTACAAGTATGAATTCTTTTTTATTCTATATTTATGCTATTATGTTCAATTAAATTATTATTTGTATGTATATAGATTTTATCGTTTTCATTGCAAATTGATCCAAATGAAGAAACACCAATTTTACGAATACCTAGTACACCATATAGTATTGAATTGATGGATACACTCGAAGCTAGAGAGGTATATATATATATATATATATATATTATATTAATATTAGATATATTAATCACAAATACTAAAATTAAATTATATTATGTAGATAATTGTAAAAGATTTTACTGCAAGGTGTAAAGGCATAGTACAAGAAGCTATGAAATGGGCGCCTCAAGCTACTAGATCACATTTACAAGAATATGTAAATCAAATTCCATCTTCTGGATTAAAACATCATTCTGGTTTATGTTTATCTACTGATTCAGTTCTTGAATTTGTAGATCTTGCTATTCCAACCTCGGCCTTACCAAATGTAAAATGATATTTCTAATATTTTAAAATATTTTATTTTAAAAATAATAAAATATATTTCTTATAGACCAATTCATTAGATAAGCGACCAAAAGGTCCAAAAGGAGCCAGTTCTTGGCTTCTGTCAATGATGTCAACACGATCACGATATGCCGGAGAAATAGCAGGAATGTTATCATTGGCACAAACCGAATCATCTACTTCTGAAATATCATTTGAAGAAATTAGGAATAAAGTTGTAGATTTATTAATCGATGCTGTATGGATGGCTTGCCGTTCACGAAATGATGTTACGCATCGTAGCGCTCTCTGGCGTGCTACTGCATTATTAATATCTATGCCTGGTAATTTGCAATAATAATTTTTTGAAAATTGCTATTCTTATTTCTTATATTTGCAATATTAATTTGCAATATTATAATTTCTATTCAGGAACACATAGACGTTTGTTACATACAGTAGCTTCTTCGCAGATTGAATTGTTCACTCCTGCAGCTATGACTACAGCAGTTGAATGTTGGCAATGGATACTCACTGTACGGCCAGATTTAAAATTACGTTTCTTACAAGAAATGTTTGTTGCATGGCAATATACTGTTGACAAAAGAATGGGTTTGTTTGCACCAGATGAAGAAGAAGTTAGTCCTCTGGCAATATACGAAGGTTGCAAGTTAGGTCCAAATCCTCCCCAAGTCAAACCTCACGATATTTGGGTTACATTTATCGTAGAATTAATTGAAACTGCTAAATATTGCTGTCAGGAGACAGTTGACATGATTGTGATATTATTACATCGGTCACTGCCCATGACTGTTGGTGCTTCTGGTGAGGAACCTGGAATGAGTCGCCATGTTGCCGCAATTGGAGTACGCTTTAAATTGCTTTCTTGTGGATTACTTCTTCTTCAAGGAGATATTTTATCAAGGTATTGTATTTCATATATATATCATGCAAAATTCAATATCATTAAATATTAACTTATTGAATAATCAAATAACTAATTTTATTTATAGAACATTAAGCAAAAACGTGTTACGAGAACGTGTATATTGTAATTGTTTAGATTATTTTTGTCGAGATCGTCAAGTACCAACACAAGAATTAGAGCAATTACATGAAGACTTAGTTACGCTTATACGATTTTGGCAAGTCAGTAAGATATTTTCAATTTAGAAAAATATTAGATTTTTTCTATTTGTTTCTATTTGCTTAATAATATTTATTTTATCATATTTTAGGTAATGCATAGTGATAAAAAATATTTAGTAATGACTGGTAACGAAAGTGAATTTGAAATTTTAACACCCCAGTCATATTCAACTGGTGGTTTTGGACCTAGCGAAACAATTAGTTCATTAAGTACAGCTTTAGGTACTACTAATAGTGAATTTTCAAAAACACCGACGAGCGTATGGATTAATACAGTTCCAATGTCTACTAGTAGTAATACATTAGGTAAACGTAGTAATCGTAGCAAACGTGTTATGAATGCTAATGTTTTTGTAAAGGATTATATAAAGAAAAGAAATTTGATTCTTGAACTGCTGGCAGTTGAAATAGAAATGTTATTAGTAAGTTCTAATTTTACACTTTATATATTTTTTTTAATTTCTTCAACATTATTTAATATGTTAAATTATAGGTTTGGAGAAATCCTAGTGGAAGACAAGAACTTGCACTTCCTGGTGAATCGAGTATTGCAGAATGGCGCGCTAAGGGTATGAATGATCGATGGCGTGAATATACGCGGCTTGCATGGGAAATTAGTCCTGTACTTGCTATATTTTTACCAGTTCGATTAAAAAATTCAGAAATTATTATTAAAGAAGTATGTGGTCTTGTTCGTCTTAAACCTGTACCAGTTATGCATGTTCCAGAAGCTTTACAGTATCTTGTTACAACTGATACATTACTTAATGATGTACCTGAAGTAAGATATTTTTTAAAAATTATTTTCAAAAATCTTTTATTACATTTTATTAATTATATATTGTAATTTATTATTTCAATATGTTTTAGTTGGTATATATGCTAACATGGGAAAGAGTATCACCTATTCAAGCTTTAGCATATTTTTCTCGTCAATTTCCTCATCATCCAATATCTGCACAATATGCAGTAGAGGTGCTAAGTAGCTATCCAGCAGATGCTGTACTTTTCTACATACCGCAACTTGTACAAGCTGTACGCCATGATACTATGGGTTATGTAATAGAATTTATAAAAAAAATCGCTAAACGTTCACAAGTAAATATTATATATACATCATTTATATTTTACATCATTTAATTGTTTTTGAATTAAAATTTATTGTTTAATTTTTAATATAGGTAGTGGCACATCAATTAATTTGGAATATGTATACAAATATGTATTTAGATGAAGATAAACAAATTAAAGATCCTATTCTGTATGATATATTAGATTCGCTTGTAAAAAGTATTTTAGGATCATTATCTGGCCCAGCAAAACAATTTTATGAAAGAGAATTCGATTTTTTTGAAAAAATTACAAATATTTCAGGTGAAATAAGACCATATCCTAAAGGTCCAGAACGTAAAGCAGCATGTTTAAAAGCTTTATCAAAAATCAAAGTACAACCAAGTTGCTATTTACCATCTAATCCTGAAGCCATGGTAATTGATATTGATTATCAAAGTGGGACTCCTATGCAAAGGTAAATAGATTGAAGTATTTTCTTTATATTTTGTATTTTAGTCATTATTATTCTATATTTTTATTATTTATAGTGCTGCAAAAGCACCATTTTTAGCGCGCTTTAAAGTACGAAAATATGGAATTAACGAATTAGAAAATATTGCATTAGCAGTATCAGCTAATGGTAAAATGGATGTTAATAAAAGAGAATCAGAAAAAGAGACATGGCAAGCTGCTATTTTTAAAGTTGGAGATGATGTTAGACAAGATATGTTAGCTTTACAAGTAATCAGTATTTTCAAGAATATATTTCAAAAAGTTGGATTAAATTTATTTTTGTTCCCATATAGAGTAGTAGCTACAGCACCTGGGGTAAGTTATTTTATTTTACTTTTTAATTATAAAGAATAATTTTAATCTAAATTTTTTATGACCATTATTATATTATAAAGTATTAATATAAAGAATACATGTTTCAGTGTGGTGTCATAGAATGTGTACCTAATGCAACTTCACGTGATCAACTTGGTCGCACCACTGATATTGATATGCATCAATATTTTATCACACGTTATGGGGATGAAACAACGAAAGAATTCCAAAACGTACGTCGAAATTTCGTAAAATCAATGGCTGCCTATAGCGTTATTACGTATCTTTTACAAATAAAAGATCGCCACAATGGTAACATTATGTTGGATACTGAAGGCCATATTATACATATCGATTTTGGATTTATGTTTGAAAGTTCGCCTGGAGGTAATTTAGGTTTTGAACCTGATATTAAACTGACTGATGAAATGGTGCTTGTAATGGGAGGTAAAATGGAAGCTGCACCTTTCCGTTGGTTTATGGAATTATGTGTACAGGCTTTCCTTGCCGTAAGGTAAATGAAAATAAATTCAGAAAAATTTGGAATTACAAGATTTGTTAGATTTTTAAATTTTAAACATATTATATTCAATTAATCTATAAAAGATTCAACATATAGAAATAATTGATTGAATAATTCAATTAGATTTATTTTTTTTCCAAATAATTAATTTTCGAATTAGTTATAAATTCTAATTAAATCATAATTTTTACAGACCTTATCAAGAAGCTATTATTTCTTTAGTTTCTTTAATGCTTGATACTGGATTGCCATGTTTCCGTGGGCAAACAATAAAACTTTTACGCGGTAGATTTGTGCCGACAGCAACTGATCGCGAAGCAGCGGCCTATATGCTCAACGTAATACGTAACAGCTACCTCAATTTCCGTACGAAAACTTATGATATGATACAGTATTATCAGAATCAAATTCCTTATTAAATTCTACTTCTAAGTAATTTTCATTGACAATTGTTAATTTATAATGAAGAAATTCATTATTTCTGCAAAAATTGTTGAATGAATATACTATGTATTATATTTGTTAGATACAGCAATGTTACATTTGCTGTTTGTACAAACTTCTTAGTGTCAATGTTATTCTTAGACTTATATAAATTTTATGAAAACATTGTGCTCTGTATGTATGTAAGAATAATGTATTATAAAGTGAAAAAATTATTTTATGTCTGCTATAAAGCAGAAAATATGTATACATAAAAAACATTCCTCTATTTATTATTTATGTACTGTTGTCGGTTAAATATTAAATGGGAAAATAATTCAATAAATCTCTAGTTTAATTATAAAAATCTTAACACTATTGTATAACTTTTATTTAAATTAATATTATCTATTGTACTACAATTTGAATACAATTAAAATTTATTTCATTGCATTCATTTTTTATTTTATTTTGATTTTGATAATGTCTCTAATTTTATTTTAGTTGTATCAATTTTCCTGAAATTATACACAATATACTTAAATTAATAAATTAATAAATTAAATAGCATTATATAAGAAATTCAATTTAAAGCATTATATTTTACTTTCTAGTCTTTTATGTATAATGTAAATGTAAATAATCACCTTGTTTCTAAATGACCTTCTGTATATATTTCAATTGGTGGTTGTACAAGACGTCTAGCGTCACGAGTATAATAATATACTTTTGAGCTTTTATGATATGGTCCTCCAGGTACATGTGGAGGTGGTTGTGTACGTGCAGCAATACCATCTGCATGTCTTAAACTTGGTACATGTTTTCTCTATAATATATATTATATTTTACATAAATTCATTTCTTATATTTTATTTATATATATTATATTATATATTATTTATATTTTATTTATTTTTCTCTATTATATTTTATATGATAATATTATATGTCATTTATTTTACTTTAAATCTTCAAATAAATTGATGTATAATAATATTTAATATTCTATTAATAATACATAACATATTATGATCTTAAAAAATAAAAATTGTTTTTATTAAAAAATTATTAAATATATTAGATAGAATTATCATATAAGAAATATATTTTCTATAAGTTCATAAAAAAAATAACAAATTACATAATATTTAAAAAAAAATATAAAAGCAATATAAAATTAACATTAAATGAATCTAAATTTTGCTTACACCTCGACCAAAATCTCGAAGCCACTGTATGAATGGAGTTTGACTACGATGTTCTATTCCAGGCATTTTTATATCTGAGTTGAGATTATATCCGAGTTTAATTTAAAATAAATAAATTATTTCTAATGCAATCACTGTCTATAAAACATATAATACTGAACTTAACTTTCAGTTATCAATTTCGATATATTTCGAGTACAAAATTATCGATAATCGTTATTTTCAATTATTGAATATTACAACAAAAATATTTTAATTATTTTACATATCTTATATATCTTTTATACATAAAAATTAAGAAAAATAAATTATTCTGTATAAAATATTAATATAATATAATAATTATAAATCAATAAATAATTCAAAATTATGTTCATGTTACAAATTATAAATTTTATTTTTTCAAATTAATTATTGTTATTTATTTTATAACATATCTATTAAGTTAATTCTATATTTAATTTTATATTTAATATTAATTATTATTTATTAATTAAAATTATATTATTTAAAAATAATATAAAAATAATTATATGAATATAAAAAAATAATACATAAATATTCTATTAATTAATACTGAATTCATTTCAAATTTGAATCTAAATAAATGTCATAATTTTGTCAAAAGTGTCAAAATATTTTTCTAAAAATATTCAAAAGATAGTGTTAATAGTCAATAGCCTATTACTATCTTTCTTTATCTGTATTTATGTCTTATCTAAGTCTTAGATTCTAAGACATTTTATAGATGATGATGATGATTCCGAATTTTTACTCTATTTCTGTCTTTTTTCCACTATGATATATTTATATTTTCTATTATTATTATTTTTTATATTACAAGATTTTTTTTTTATTTAATTTAATTTTATATTGAAATTAAGTTCAATTTCAATTATTTCTAATGTTATCTTATTCTGCAATCTTATTCTGAATTAAATCGATAATGTTGAAAATGATACTAAAGTTATAGAAGAGGTCTTACCATGGGACAAAAAATACATTGAATGTTAAAATCTATTTTATAGTTTATCTGTGCTTGTTAAACAGGAAGGTCATCATTTTATCGGCTGAAATATTCATTACGATACATTAGCTTATTTGTGATCGTGATTCAGCAAAACATAAGTACATCTTATAACTATACGAGAATTCTTACGGTGCAATATCTTAGAAGCACTTGTCGTTCCGTGTAGTCGAGAAATTTTCGAAGATGACTAAAGCAGTGTGTGTTCTTCAGGGTGAAGTCAAAGGCACTATTTTTTTCGAACAACCGGTAAATGATTTTTTTGATTAATATTCAACATAATATTCTATCATAATATTTTATATTTATTTTTTATAATATAATTCTTGCATAGGAGAGTACTAATTCTGTGAAGGTCACGGGTCAAGTAACCGGTTTAAAAAAAGGATTGCATGGTTTTCATGTTCATGAATTCGGCGATAACACTAATGGTATGTATATTCAATAAAATATTATTATTTAATTTTTTAATTGTTGTTAAAAATTATAAAAAAAGTCTTGAGACTTTAATGAATCTTGAAATTTAATTTCAGAAATAATATGTAAAGTAATATAAGATAAATAAATAATAATAAGAACATATATATATATATATAGCAATAAGTATATATAAATATATATGAAGTTATTATATATGTGTGTATATATATTATATACATATATATTTTTTATATACATATAATATTGTATATATATCTTTTTAACAGGTTGTACAAGTGCTGGTGCACATTTCAATCCTTTAGGAAAGGATCATGGTGGACCTGATTCAGATATACGTCATGTTGGAGATTTGGGAAATATTGAAGCAGATGCAAATGGTATTGCTAATGTTAATATAACAGATAAAACTATTCAACTTCAAGGACCACATAGTGTTATTGGCAGAACACTTGTAGTAAATATTACATAATATTTTTTTTTAATTACTATAATTAATTATATTATATATATATTAAATACAATTTGATTTTGTTTTTATTTTGATAAGGTTCATGCTGATCCAGATGATCTTGGTAAAGGTGGTGTTGAATTATCAAAAACTACAGGAAATGCTGGTGCTCGTCTTGCTTGTGGTGTTATTGGAATTACAAAAGTCTAAATATATTCTTTTAATACAAAATTACTATTATTATTAGGAACTATAAAATATATATCTCAATTTAAATATGAGTACATCATTCCTAATTTCTTGTAATTTAAATCTCTTAGATATGTAATCTGCTTTCAATAAAGTAAATATTCTAATATATTTATGTATGAATATATATTCCACATATAAAATAAATTTTTTTGTATGTAAATTTTTCTTCATACTATTATAATTATATATAATTTTTGTTGTATTTTATTTTATTTTATTTATATTATATATATTATCTTCAATGAATAAATATTGAATATGAATATTTTGTAATAAAAAATAAAATCAATATATATATATGTCTATACAATATATATATATATTATGTATATTATGAGTATAATATGAGATATTAATTTAAGATGCAAAAACCATTCTCATTCGTAAAAATTTTTTTTTTGAAATTTTGAAATTACTATTTTTTATTTACTATTTTTTCCTAAATTCAATATTCTTTTCTGCTTTACATACGATCATGGATTAATGATAAGTTAGTTTTCATCAGCGAAAGATTTTTTAACATCTGGAGGCGAAATATATTATCAAATTGATTAAGAGAATATATATATATATATATGCAAGGAAAAAATACATGGACAATTTGAATTTCGTTTACAATTCTCTTAAAGCTGAGTTCACGCGATAGCATAAAGTAAGTGAATTGCATTTGAACGATTCCACTTGTTCCGGCATTCCTTGTTCATTGTTTATGTGACGTGGTGATACGTTGACTGGTTGTTGCCGGTTGTGTTCAAGTGAAGTAGAATTGAAATTGTTTTGTTTACTTGGTTATTGTAATTTTTATAAAAACAGTTGTAACCATGTTGCAATCTATATTCGATGATGTGCGGCGAATGAATAAACGACAGGTAAAAGAATTTTCTTATTTGAATTATCATAGATTCTTAGAGTACATATGGTCATTTGAAAGAAATGATCTTTATAACTATTTATGAATCTTTTTGCAGTTCCTGTATCAAATGTTAAGTTTTGGTATGATCGTTTCATCCGCCTTGATGATTTGGAAAGGCTTAATGGTTGTAACAGGCGCCGAAAGTCCAATCGTTGTGGTTCTTAGGTATTTGAATACTTAACCTAATAGTTGTATTTGATGCACCTTTCGCGCGAATAAATTTACTTTTAAAATATAAAATTATTGATTTTACATAAAACATGGAATTATTTTCTTATATTATATATTTCTTATTATTATATATTAGATATGATTATTTCAATCAATTCTCTAATGTATTAAAATTCATATATATTTTAAATTATTTAAAAATTATAAACACAATAATTATTTTTTATAAAAATCAAATTATACAAAACATTTAAAAATATTTAATATTTCATAAAATTATATATATTATAAATTATATATTAATTATATTTTTGTATTTAATTTTATTCCTTTAACTTATATAGATTTAGTTTAATGTTTTAGTATTTTAAAAACATAATTTTAATATTATAGTGGTAGTATGGAACCAGCATTTCATAGGGGGGACTTATTATTTTTAACCAATTACCAAGATGAGCCAGTCAGAGTAGGAGAAATCCTTGTTTTTAAAGTTGAGGGTAGATATATTCCAATTGTACACAGAGTAATTAAGATACATGAAAAGTAAGTATTTTTTAAATCTTAATAAAATAAAATGAAAATAAAAATTATAAATATAAATTAAAATATTGAAAATAATATAATATAATATATTTTTAGGGGCGACCAAAATAATACTGTTAAATTTTTAACAAAGGGTGATAATAATTCTGTTGATGATAGAGGTTTATATGTAACTGGTCAATTATGGTTGACACATAAAGATGTTGTTGGTAGAGCAAGAGGTTTTTTACCATATGTAGGAATGATTACAATATATATGAATGAATATCCCAAATTTAAATATGCAATATTAATATGTTTGGGATTATATGTTATGGTACACAGAGAATAAATATATTTCATATAGGAAATTATATGAAATAGACTATCTGAACATCTACAAAAAAGTGCATTGTAAAATTAAATCTTAATTGATAATTCAAATATACATATGGAGCTATGTACAATGTGATTTTATGTCTTGTTGATTTCATACCAATTGAAAAATCTTTTGTATGCAAGAGATTATATAATAGTTTTGCAGAATTATATGTATATTTACAATAGTAATAAAAAAAAAAATTAAAATATATATGTGTAAAGCAACAGTACTTTTGTACTGTATTAAAAAATGTTCTGCCATTATTGGCAAAATTTAATGTACAAATGTTTTTATTTTCAAGTAATACTCTATTTTTTTTTTTT